GGTCATTTGTACCCCTAGGTAGTCGGGTGAAATAACCACACTAGGTTTCTGATCATTGTACCCATCTCCTATTGCTGCCATTGTACTCTTTCACAGTTGCCTCTAACCTTACTTCTCAGCTACAAGCTGATTGATGTTGTTCACAGTTTGATACTTTAGCACCTATTGCAGCCCCTAAACACAATAGTGGGAGCACACACTTGTTCTTATTCACACTACTGCTGACTTCACACACCTACGACCCACATAAGCATAAATTACCACTCACTAATCACAGATAGGCCCTCTTACAACCACTCAATAAAAAAAATTGTGCATCATAAGCACCATAACACAGTCAAAACTGCTACACCCAGTTCAGACTTGTTTAACACACTTAAGAGGGCATTACACAACCAAAAAGAGCTCGGCAAGGTCATTGCATTCCACCTTACACCACTTGGCCACTTACAGCAGCCCTAACACCACTCAACAACTCACAGCAGACCTACACCATTCAACAACTCACAGCAGCCCTACACCATTCGGCTACTGCACACATAGCCCTTTCTAGGGCAACAATGAACCTAGTTCTCTAGGTTCCAATCAATACTAACAGCTTCTTGTAGGGTTTCTACCCAAAAATATCAGTAACACTAGAAGAAGAGAAAACCGACCTTCCTTTGAGAATATCAACCAACCATTCACTGCTGAAGTCACTTTCCTTGTTGAAGAAGGTTATGCGCAGTAGAGAGAGACGAGCTGTGATGTTTCTAACCTAGGGTGAACCAGTTCTCTCCATTGACTGACCAGAAACGAAGGAGAAGAGTCACGAACACTGTTGAGGCGCTTTACCAACTAAAGTAGGTCAGGAGCATGGCTATGATGCCATGTTTCGACTGGTGCTACAGTAGTCCGAACCAGAAAGAGAAGAAGAAGAAGAAGAAGAAGAAGAAGGGTCTGTCGAAATCTGATGGATTACCCATACAGTCGACCCCCTTAATCTATATTAGACTCTAATAATCTTTACAAAGACAAAAATGCCCTTACTTAAGTGTGGGGCATAGTAACTCTAATAACACTGCCACATAAGCAAGTTACTTAACAAACATAAGAAGACTAAACTACCCCTATTTGGCACACTTTAACATCAATAATTTTTTCATTTTTATTTATTACCAAAAAGAATATGTTTTCTACATGATTTAAAATGTTGAGTGCAGAAGATGGTATTATAATATATTAGTTACCAAAATATCCAGATGTGTAGACTGGAAGTAGCAGTATTGTTGCCCACCTAAAGTACATGGATGAACACTTTGAGCCAACTTCAAAGTTTCTTTGGGACTCAATATTAAAACTTAGTTTTTGTTTGTGTAAAAGATTGTTTGTTGATCTATTAGAATTGTAGAGGAGATGGGCAGAATGGCCCATAAACTGTCGTTTCATGTTATGTTTATGTTTCCCTCTGTAATGGGCCTTTATTCTGGGCCCATACTTTGTAATGTTCTGTTTTTTGTAATTTCTTGCCCACTCAAGGGTCTCTCTGTAATATTTCAAAGATTAACTTAATAAAATGTTTAGAGTGTTAGAGGGAGGTTATGTTCGAGCCTCTCACTCTCTAACTCTCATTGTCGCCAGCTCTCTCTCTTCTTCTTCCTCTTAATCTTCTCTTGTTAGTTTATTTTCTGGTTTGCATCTAATCTCAAGCAGTTCTATACATCAAGAGGATTGTTTTTCAACTTGGTATCAGAGCGGGCCAGAGCTTGGTGTGACCCTCATGTGGTTCTAGTCCAACCAACTGCATGAGGATGTTCTAGGGCTGGAAGTTTAAAGTCATTCACCTGGTTCTTGGAGGTCATTGGAGGGTGCCCATGTCTCTACACACTTGGAGAATAGTTCGGTGACCAGGAAGAATTCAGAGAGCAAGGTGTTCGGCCTGGTTTGAAGTTCAAATCAGAGATTCACTTACTGTAAGTTATCTCAGTTATTGATGGGTTATTTTCATTGCTTGGGAGGGCTGTTAAAGTATTCGAAACCCTCCTCCATTCTGCCCTACTGTTCGGCTGCTGCTGAATTGATTCAACTCAGAGATTTCTGGGTTGTTTTGGAGTGCAGTTCGGCTGTTGTTGGACTGTCAAGTTGCTGAAACTGGTTTGGACTCAGTGGTACTAGTCTAAAATTCTGTCCAGCCTTTGTTTTGGACCTATATGAAACATTATAGAAGTGGTTCCTACTAGTTAACAGTAGGGTGTTAACTACTGCACACAGAGTGTTTGTCAAAAGGCCTCTTAAGGACTGTGGACTGTTTTCTTCTCTTTGGAACAATGGTTGTTGGGGACCTGAAATACTTCGTGTTTGGAGGTCTACTGGTTGTCCCTTGAAGAGTGAAATAGTATTTCTTACTCTAGAAAGTGTTGCCACCGAGCTGGACTGTCACGGTTATCAAGACTGAACTGTTTTTTGTGAGCTGGTTGTTGTTGTCGATTCAGCTCAAACTAAGTTCATCAAGATTCCATGTACCTTGGAAAACTTATTAAAACCCTAATTGGAGCCTTTGCATGATGGATTCCTCGGACCTTGAAAGCAAGAGTGCTGCTGAATATGGACAGACTTTGGGAACCCCAGCCGATTCCTCGGACCTTGGAGCCATTGCATGATGGATTCCTCGGACCTTGAAAGCAAGAGTGTTGCTGAATATGGACAGACTTTGGGAACCCCAGCCGATTCTATGTTGGCAGTAACTACAGTTAAACTTGATGGGACTAACTACTTGGCATGGTCACAATCAGTGAAAATCCATATTTGTAGCAGAGGAAAATGGGGGTTTATTTCTGGGAGCAAGAAAGCTCCCCTAGAGAATGATCCATCTTATGAGAGATGGATGCAAGAGAACTACACAGTGATTGGGTGGCTTGTGAATTCAATGCAGCCACAAATTAGTCAACACTATCTTTGGATGAACTCGGCTAARGAAATCTGGGATAGTGTTRCAGAAACCTACTCCCAAAAATTGAATGTTKCCAGAGCCTATAAACTGAGGAGTGATGTGAAGAATCTAAGGCAGGGGGAGAAATCACTTGCAGCATACTTCTCAACCCTGAAATCTCTATGGCAAGTGATTGATCTGATAGAGGCTGTGAAATGGGATACCCCCAATGATGCTAAAACATACAAGAAATTAGTTGAAAGGAACAGGGTCTTTGAGTTCCTAACAGGGCTGAATCCTGAATATGACATCACAAAACAGAACATTACAAAGTATGGGCCCAGAATAAGGCCCATTACAGAGGGAAACATAAGCATTACATGAAATGACAGTCTATGGGCCATTAGGCCCATCTCCTCTACATGACAAACCCATGATGTTGTACTGTGATAATCAAGCTGCCATCAACATTGCTCACAACCCAGTCCAACATGATAGAACCAAACATATTGAGTTTGATAGACACTTTATTCGAGAAAGAGTCTCTTCCGGTGAAGTGTGTCTTCCATTCATTACTTCGGAAGGACAATTGGCAGATTTCCTCACGAAAGGTATTTCCAAGGCAAAGCTTCAACATGGCACTAGCAAGCTGGGCATGATTAACATCTATGCTCAGCTTGAGGGGGAGTGTAGTGGAGATGGGCCGAATGGCCCATAGACTATCATTTCATGTTATGTTTATGTTTCCCTCTGTAATGGGCCTTATTCTGGGCCCATACTTTGTAATGTTCTGTTTTTTGTAATTTCTTGCCCACTCAAGGGCCTCTCTGTAATATTTCAAAGATTAACTTAATAAAATGTTTAGAGTGTTAGAGGGAGGTTATGTTCGAACCTCTCACTCTCTAACTCTCATTGCCACCAGCTCTCTCTCTTCTTCTTCCTCTTAATCTTCTCTTGTTAATTTATTTTCTGGTTTGCATCTAATCTCAAGCAGTTCTATATATCAAGAGGACTGTTTTTCAACTAGAACCATTTGCACTTTCTATGAGTTCAAATTTTTCTTTAAACTTGCTTTTTTATGTAGCTTTAACTTTATGGCAACTTGAAAGTGTATTATTGTTTCCAGCATGTCAATAATTTTTACAATACTTCCATACAAATTTCAGGCATTGTCCTCTATTTGGATGATCAATATTTCCACCAACACAAACATTTTAAACCTTGGTTTTGTACAGGGGATCGCTTCAACGTGCTGCCCTAGGTGCCTCTATAATCCCAAAGACAACATGTTCCATGCCAATAAACAAACTCAATTCACCAACCAACAAGAGTTATACACACACACATGGAGAGAGAAAGAGAGTAACAAACAGCAAATATAAATTTGTTCAATCCTAAATGGTTAATTGATGCCATTTCCAATATCAAGGAAACCAGAAAATCTGAATACCTCGAAGGATGTTGCCAGGATCCATTTGCCGCCAAAACAAAAGCTGTTTGTGAGAACACAGATTTAATGGAAGTATCCTCCTCAATCAGAAGTTTTATTTCATGAAAAATGGAAGAAAGAGCTCCTTGATGTGAAAGAAATTCTGGCATACGACTGAGTACATAGTCTTTGTAGAATTCAGCCTTTGTAGGTTCCCTGATCCCTAAATAACTTCTTAGAATGGTTTTCTCCTTTTCTGATTCAGTACGAACAAAGCTTTCATCCAAAAAATCCTCACTTACACCTTCTGGCTTGAGCCATTTAGTAGGTTCACTCAAACATACAAGTTTTCTACTTCTACATGACTCAAACACCGGGAGATGCTTGATTACATTTATGTGTCTATGCTCCATCCGATTGGAACAGAACCACTTCGACTGGAGAATGAAACTCCGAAGTTCATGCATCTCTCCCTCTGATGCATCTGAGAAAAGCCCCATGATATGTTGTGGCTCAACAGAAACAGTTAGGACAGCATTTAAGATGCCAGTTGCAGTAGAGTCCTGCACAAAAAATTTCAACTGTGGATGATCTATGGGAACATCAGAGCTCAGGAAGAGACATCCTAGTTTCTGCAACAGCGAAGACATGTTCTCACTCCATCCGTCATCTTTAATCACATTTGAGTCCTGGACAATCTGCATGAGGCAATTATGCCTTACTGGCAAAATAGGCCACTTAGAGAACACTGAGAGGTCATCACAAGATGAGTTCAAATAGTTCCAGAACAGTCCCATCCACTCTAAACTTGGTTGACCTTGGTAACCTGGGGTCCAAGATACCAGTTTAGCATGCTGCCACTCTGTCGGCATAAACCTGGGAAAAAGCTCCTCAAGAAGATGGCATGTCAGTAAGGAAATATTACAACCTCTATGTTCCGCTACCTCATAGAGCTTCCTATGAACTGCATCTGGAATGCTGCAATCTACAAGAAGTTGAGGAACTGTGTCCTTAAGAAGACCATATTCATCTTTAGAAGTAACAAATACTCTTTCCCCCTCTCCCCTCTTGCTGAACATTGTAAACAAACCATTGGAAAGAGGAACCAAAGGTAAACCATGCAGATTATCAGAACGATTAGGTACAGTCATGTCACTTAAGCAGTATTCCAGCATCAATATCATTGCATCCCTGTTCTTAAATTCACGTTTCCGTCGAATCAATAAGGTCCTTAGAAGTTGAGGTGTCAAATAATGAAGTGATGGGCAAACTTCCATAAACATCTCCACCACTGGCTTAGAAACGGTAACAATAGGCAAACCTGCATCTGATAATGCTTCTACAAGCTCATTTTCCTTTAGAAAAGTAAAATCAGGGAAAATGGCTTGTTTAGTTGAGATCCAAAGGCCTCCCCTAGCTTTTGTGTGTAAGACATGAAGACCAAGATCAGCAATACACGAATAGATTTTCCGCACCATTGATCCCCATGGTTCTTGTATGGCTTTTGTAGGCCAAAATGAAAAGAATAGATCAGATGGACCAACCTCTATTGCAATTTTTTCAAGCAAGTGGCCATAAGCAGGAGCAACAACATCTTCAAGAAGGTAAATATTCCAATCTGAGCGTACTTTTCCACCCCCTGCCATGTCATTGCCAAACCAAATATCCCTGCGGTTTGATGACAACTCAAAATATGCATTAATATGTGCTGGTAGACCAGTGACAATTGGCAGTGGTAAAAAGCAGAAGGCTCGACCCTCAAACTCCTTTCTGACTTGTCTGGAATCCAGAGGAACATGAAAGATATCAGGAATACTGTCACTTGGTTGTCCTTCAATCATCTGTCTATTTCCCAATTGCATTATGTCTTTCAAATTAACAGAATGCAAATATGCAGCAACACATGCCCAGGGAATAAAATTCCGAGACCTGTTCTCCAAGGCTAAAGATTTGTTCTTAGCACGTCCACCTCCTAAACATTCACTGGTTATCCACAAGTGTGACTTGTCACCAGAGGGAGTCTTCTCAGTTACCACAATTTTTACACAATCCCATGGCAAGTCACTATCTATCGTTTTACTCAATTTATTAAGGAACTGGTCCTTATCCATTCCACACTGTCGGTTTCCATGAATAAAGCTAAGCAGAGGATGCATTGGAATAGATGCAGTTTCAGGCTCCCTGATATGATTCTTATCAACACGGTGGAGAAGGTGCATTTCATTACCAACTCCATCCTTCACAAAAATTGAGATGGTTTTCACATTGCGAAGGAAAAGAAGGGCTTGTGATACAACTTCAGAAAACGAAGAGAAGAGTGATAAAACATCTTCTAATGCATATTTTTCTTTCTTTATTTGGCTTCTGGAAGCTGTACCTTCACTTCTGAGGGGAAAACGGAAGAGGGTTCCAGGAAATGGATGCTGAAGGTCACAACCAAAATGCAAGAATGGAGAAAACTGATCAGGAAATTGTTCCAATATACTTCTACCAACAAATCTGATTCGCAGACCAGGGTGGGATGGAGAGATGCCAGGCAAGTAACAGGCATGAGGATCAAACATTACAATGTTCTCCCCAGAAACAAATGTTGGGATATCTGTAAAATGATAAACACTGTTAAAGCCAAGCCCAAACCTTCCAATTGCAAAGGGCTTCTCAAGTTTACTATCTTGTCCAATACGTGAGATTGCATAAAGATCTTGTGCACTAAAAATAGAATTATTGAAACAGTAGAGAGCAGGGCCCTGCCAATCTGCCATTTCAGGAGAAAGAACAGATGAAGTCCCATACTGAGTTTTATCCAAGAGAAAAGTGACTTCAGAAGCACCTGCATCTTCTGCATTTTGTACTAGTTCAAAAAGAATACCAGGTCCATCTGCATACATCTCAACTATATGTTTAAGCCTGGTTGTCAAGGCTTCATGCTGTCCAAAAGCCTCAGCAGCTCCTGATAAACTCAAATTCATTGAGTCAGCACTCTCAGCAAGTAATATCCTACGAAGTGAGCATACACCCAGTTTCTCTGCCACATCATTTGAAATGTTACCATGCACAAATTTTTGAGCAGTTCTCTTTACATTAAAAGTCACTGTAGAGGCATTCCCAAATTCATTTTCAGGCCCTCCAGAGCCAAGCAACCATGGAGCATCATTGTAAACTAGGTCAGTGGCAGAAAACAATCTGGATGACACATCTGGTAGATAGATCTCATTGTGCTTATCCTGAAAATGAGCTTCAGCCAGATGCTGCACAATCAGTACTGCTGCCCTGAGTTCATGTGCATCCAGAGGATTACAACCTTTTCTTGCAGCCATTCTATGTAGAATACCAGCATAATCTTCAGGTTTCAAGAACTCTCGTATGCCAAGCTCCAAAAATAATTCCCTGAAAACTGCTAAATCAACAGGAATAACCCGTATATAAGGAACCAGATGAAGAGGACCATTAAGTACAACCTCATCCAAGGTTGCAAACCCGTCTCCCACCCAAATCCAACGGCACCCTTCTAGAATAGCCTTTACAATATCCATTTCATCAGAGCCAATCATGCTTGTCAATATAGAGTATATCTTTGGCATTGCTAGAGCCAATTCTTGCCGAAGAACCTTATCTTGAACAAGCTCATTATTTTTCCCTAGCTCGAGTAGTTGGGCAGAAAGAATACTTCCACCGGGTGTAGTAGACCATCCCAGGCTAGAAGACAATGCTGTTGAGGAACATTCACCATCAAGTATACGCAGGCTAGCTGAAACAAGCCACATATCTGCTGGTAGTCTGACCAGCTTTGGAGGAGCAACCATTGATGAAATGGAAGGCCATGGTAAAGATGGATATGGAGCAGCAACCAGGACTGGGCACCAGCAGATCATTCTGAGATCATTCCAGAATTTTTCTAGATCAATTTCAGAATTTCGGGGCTTAAAAGAAGTTGCAACTTGTGAGAACAATCTGTTCATTCTCCTCTTACCATCATTTAGCAGATTGAAAGACCACTTTACTGCATTTACTTCTAGGTAGGAAAGAAGAGCCTTTCCTTTTACATGTGCCTTCTGTTGATCTTTGTGCATCATTAGCTCAATTTGACGAGCGCTTTGTATAATTGTCTCAGGAGAGACAAATGTCCTAAGGCCCAAACCTATTAACATGTCCAACGCACCAGATTCTTGGAACAAACCATAAGGGTAACTGTCAGAATCTTCTAGAAGTGCATATAATTCTTCATTACGAGGATCATATAAAGCGTCAGGACATTTTAGAATACCACTAAGGGTTGGGACAAATTCCAACTTTCTCAATGAATCTCTCAAAGATGTTTCCTCTGCACATAATTGAGGTAGGTCCTGTAGAATAGAAAGCATAACTCTGTCACGAACCTCTGGTTGCAACTCACAAATTCTGTTTAACACCTGCTGTTTGTAGAAACATGCCTTACCCATCTGCTCAATTCCATAATATCCTAATAGAATCTTCTCTTCAGTATCAGATAAGCTGCAAATGAACTCTTCTCCAAGCAAATACTTGGGAATATCTGAAGGTGGTAAATACTTTATAGGATTTTCTAGGTCAGAAAAATGGAAAGTTTGAATCGATTCACCATCATGAACTTTATAAATAGGCAACATCTTGCACTTCTGTATGTGCAACTCCAATATACAGTCTCCAATATACCACTTAGGGTCAAGAAGAAAATGGCGAAGCTCATCCTTCTCATCCACTCCAAGATTATCATTAAACAGATGCTTTAGGTCCTCATTTGAGGAAACAACATCAAAAATGGCTTCCAAAACACCAGCACCATCAGCACCATGGACATAATGGGACAACTCCCAATGTTCAACCCCATAATTAGGGCTCAATATCCTGCACCCAATCTTAGCAAGGAGAGTCCTCATCTTACCAGGCAATTTTTCTGCATCAATCAATTTTAAGTGTCTTAAGGCTCTATATAGATGCCCTGAGGTGGATGGAAAGATAGGCCAATCACAAAACAGGGACAAATTCTCACACTGATCCCGAAGATACTGCCAGAAAAGCAGAAACCATGATGAAGATGGATGGATGGGGCTAGATTCTGGGTTCCAAAGAACCCTGTTCTTATATTTCCACTCGGAAGGGAAAAATTTAGGGAATAACTGAAGGAAATATTTATCATTGAAAGTCACAATATTGGAATTTGAAGATTTTGCAATAGCTGAAATTCTGGTCAGTATGTCAGGAGGAATATTTCGATCAATTACTCTATCAGGGATCTGGTAAAGCAGCATGTATTCCAACTCACTGCAGATAAAGTAAGGAAACCCTTTGGAGGCTTCAGAAAATGATGCAAATTCACCACTAGCTAAAGGAATCAAAGGCAGTTCACTTGCATCTCTACCAACATCTTCATCAATCAGATCTTCAAGGCAATATTCCAATAATACTAATCTGTAGAACTTGCTCAACGATATCAGCGTTTTGCATTCCCTGAGAAAACATCGTACTGTTGAAGGAGTAATTACTCTTTGAATAAAACTTGAAGAATATCTGAGGAGCATGTCAGAAAGGAAATTGGGAAGACAAACAATGGACATCCCTACCAGCAGAAGTGCCTCACCAAGTTCCTTACTTCTAGTGAACAACTCATCATGAATAAAAGCTTCAGCTGGTGATACCCATTTCCCTCCTCCGACATCTGAATACAGGACTGGACTATTACCAACATTTCTGTAAATACACTCCACCAAAAAGTTCCACGGCTCTTCAAAAGAACCACTGGGCCATAGATTATAGTATAACTTCTCTGGACCTAGTAAACTTCGTACACCCAGCAGTAACCTTGTAAAAGCAGGGGATACAACATCTTCTAGTAGAAGCATATTCCAGTCGGAGCGAAGTTTTCCACCCCTGTCCATATCATCACCATACCAAATGCTGCGGCGGTTTGAAGAAACCTCAAAGTAACCATTGATTTGCACAGCCATTCCAGTTCTTACTGGCAGAGGAAGAAAACAGAATGCTCGGCCATGCTTAAGAACATTATCCTGTTCAAAGTCACATTAATAATAAAAACTATTATGATATTAATGCATGATATATGAAAAATGAAATATTAAACTCTTTTAACAAAAAGAAATTGGTTAGTAAGAAATGAACTTAGAACAAATATCAGATAAAACAATATTATAGCTATTTCGACCAACAAGAAGAAGAAAATTCCTCAAGTACATTACCAGTCAATGTGAATCAGGGGAATAGAAACCAGAGGTTTATAAGAAAGGAGTTTCCGAAATCAAAACAATCCCAAATACCAAGGATATATCCCTTAAATATCTTCAAAGTTTCACCAATATCATAAATACCATTTATAATTTTGGCTTGGCTCTTTAATCAGATTCCAATTTTTTGGAAAACTGTGTTAATATTGATGTTTTCACAGGAACACTTCCGAAAGGTAAAATCTCAATAGATTCTTCTTTTGTTATATCTGTACTTCATTGGCTGTACTGGAAAAACAAACAACTCCAATTTGATGCATTGAACCAAATAGAACTCTATCTCCAGTTTGATCCAGAATTTCAGCATAGACTACATCATTTAGCCCCCCCCCCCCCAAAGTGTTAAGGCATATTTTTCTGTTCATTTTCGATAAATAATTTCAATTTTATTAGAGAAATCAAAATGTAATACAAGCATTGCAAGAGAGGTGTGATTTTTCACCTCTCATAATAGAAACAACACATTAGGAATTAAAACTGAGCCCATAATAACTACTACCTGCTTAGCTAGAGCATCAGCCAACTCATTAGCCAACCTTCTCTCTCAACGAATATTCATTGTCAAACCAATGGTTGACCATGTAAGCTTCTTAGTTTCATCTCTATACACCCAGCAGCAGTCTCCAGCCTTTGCAACCACTCCACCACTACCTTGGAGTCAAGTCTCCTACAATCAACTTGTTCAACTTTAATTCTCTAGCTATCTATAGTGCTTGAATTAATGCCAAGCATTCAGCCCTAATTGAGTCCCCCACACCTATGGAGAGCCATTAGCCTCCAACAGATAATTTCAACAAATGTGACTCCCTAAACAGCAGAGGTATGAAGAAAATTGCCAATGGAAATCCCAATCCTTGGTAATGTATAGCCTAAATTTACAGCATACATAGATGCACTGATGCAGGTGAGGTCCAAGACCTTCTCCAGTAACGGTGGTGAAGATTCCCAATAATCCCAAAGAAAGTGCCTGCCTAATCCAACAAAATCCCCCTAAATGTGGTGCAACCCACCAAGCATCAAAGTAATGGGGCCCCAACAATGCCATGTAATTCGCATAATGCTCGGAGATCATAGGGGCACAAATTGCACCAAAAGTCCACCCAGCCAAACCATTGGTAAAACTGAAACACCAAAGAGAACCACAACCCTAAGGTTGTCCGGAAACAGTTTGCTGGAAAAGGAAGCAGCAACTAAAGATATGGCACCCAAATCACTTGAATCCAGTTCACCTAAGTCAGATCGCTGGGAAAGGTTATGGCATTTTCCATTACAGCATCCATCTCGCCTGAATCCCAAATGACCAGCTAGAACACCTGAAATCAGTTCACTGGAAAGGTCACTACCAGTTCACCTGACTCCATGGGCTCTCACAAACAGTCTTGAATCGCCACCCAAAAAGTCCAAAAATAGGCCAGACAGCCTCTGAGGTTGATGCCTCACAATCTAAATGTCCTGGCACCTAACTTCATGCCTCTTCTATTTTAGACATTACCATAAAAACAATAACTCTTATCATATTGGTCTGCAACCCCCAAGACTGGTATTGAAAGAAAGGCAGTGTGTGTTTGCTTCTCTGGCTCATAGGAGTTGGTAAGTTCTTTGGCTAGTTGTAGTGGAGACTTGGGATGAAATCCCATTACCACCACAGTTGCAGGGGTTATGGTTATGAGGGACTGGCTACCCCTGTTGTGTATCGGAATCTGACACCAGTACAAGGTTTGAAACTCGACAGGCCCTAAAAAAACAAGATGTAAGGACTGAGCTGTTTATTATTTTGTATAAATAATAGGATAATTGTTGAAAAAAGAAAAAACTAAATGTGGATGCACAAATATGCAAACGGCACTTAGAAAACATATCAAATATTAAGGTTCCCTAGTCACATATTACAAATGTGACAGAGAAGATTACCCTTAAGTGTCATGTCTGTTTTGATGTCTACACATGCCTTATATGGATACAGCACCCATTTTGAAGAGTCCATGTAACATTAATTGAGGGTGTAGTAGTTCGGCAATGCAGTGCACTTCAGATGGTTCGAAGCCTCCTTATAGGGAAAGAACCACTAGAGACATGCAGTGCAATCAGTTTCCTAAGGCAGTGTTTGGTTGCAGTGCAAATTTATTTGCATTGATGCAAAACTATGGTAGTGCAAATGACTTGGGTCCAAATTCTGATTTATATTTGTTTCAAATTTTGCCTTGGTTAGTTTGATTACAGTACAAATGAAGTAAAATAAGACCTCAAGCAAAATAAAGTCAAGCCCATAACAAAATTAAACCAGAATTTGCATTCTTTTCATTTGCACTCCCATGCATTTGTACTAGTGCAAATATAATTGCACTGCAACCAAACACAACCTAATAAAAAGGAAACTGAATTGGTTGTGGATGAGTTTAAATAAGAACTACAGAGGGATAAAAAGGAATTTATAAACTAGCAAAGACGAGAGAAAGGAAAGGCGAAGATCTAAACCAATATTAAGTGCATTGAATGAGAAGATCAAAAAGTCGTGGTAAAAGATGAGGAAATCAAGGAAAGATAAAAAACTATTTAAAAAAATTACTAAATGAACGTGTAGAGGGAACTAGCAAAAGAGAGATTAGTCATACTAATAATATTGGAAATAACATGTACCTTCATAAAATTAGAATAGTTGAAGTCAAAGAGGCACCAAATAAGATGAAGAAGGGAAAGCCATTAGGACCAAATAGTACTCTAATAGAAGTGTGGAAAGGTATGGGGGAGGTAGGCTTATTATGGCTAAGCCATTTAATAAGACAATGAAAGAAAAGAAGATGACTGATGAATGGAGAAATAGCAATATGATGCCCATATTTAAGAACAAAGGTGACATACAAAGTTGTAATAACTATTATAATCCAATCTGTCTTAGAATTCTGTTAGGATGGTGACTGTAGAAATAAGAGAAGGATGAGAAGAAGAAGAAGAAGAGAAGGATATAGAGAAGGAGAGAAGTCTGGTTTGAACAAGAGAGAAAATCAGTCTCTCTCTATTCGGCCAGATCTATTTATATGTTTCTATTAAACCATAAAAGTACATCTTTGCCCCTACTTAAGTGAAGGTCACAAGAACTAATAGAACATTACACATCAGCAACTTAAACATAACCCTAATAACTAAAATACCCCTACACAGTCGACATTAACACTCCCCCTCAAGCTGGTGAGTATATATCATATAGTCCCAGCTTGTTACATATGTAGTTCACTCTTCCCCAACTCAACCTTTAGTAAACAAATCTGCCCATTGGTTTCCTGTGTTAACATATGCAGTATCTATCACTCCACTCAGAACCTTCTCTCTCACGAAGTGACAGTCAACCTCTATATGCTTGGTTCTTTCATGAAACACCAGATTAGAAGAGATATGGACTGCAGCCTGATTGTCACAGTAGAATTTCATTGGAGTGTCAATAGTGTATCCCATCTCCTGTAGAAGATTTCTCAACCACACTAATTCACAAGTAGTATGTGCCATAGCTCTATATTCTGCCTCTGCACTACTTCTTACCACAACTATCTGTTTCTTACTTTTCCATGTCACCAGGTTACCCCCAAGGAAAGTACAATAGCCTGTAGTGGGTCTCCTATCAGATATAGAGCCAGCCCAATCAGCATCAGTATATCCCTCTATTTAAAGTTTTCCTCCACTTCTATATATCAAGCCACGACCAGGAGCCCCCTTTAAATACCTCACAATCCTTAGAACTGCATCCCAATGCGGAACCCAAGGTTTATGCATGAACTGACTTACCACACTAACCGCAAAGGAAATATCTAGTCGAGTAATGGTTAGGTAGTTTAGTTTACCTACCAGCCACCGGTACATTCTAGGATCTCCAAACTCTTCACCCATATCACTACTCAGCTTAGTATTTGCTTCCATAGGTGTTTCAGTTGGTTTGACACCTAACAATCATGTTTCTTCCAACAAATCAAGAACATATTTCCTTTGACACAAATTAATACCATGCTTAGACCTTGCTACTTCTATCCCCAAGAAATACTTTAGTTTACCAAGGTCCTTTGTCTGAAAGTGTTCTTGTAGAAAGATCTTCAACCTATCAATTCCCACTTTATCATTCCCAGTAATAACAATATCATCTACATATACCACCAATAGGATCTTTCTAGCCTAAGAGTCATGACCCGAGACTGAGTGGTCAACCTGGCACTGTTTCATACCAAACTTCTTTACCACCTCACTGAACCTACCAAACCATGCACAAGGAGACTGTTTATGTCCATAAATGGACTTCTTTAGTCGACACACCTTAGCATCCTCCCCCTGAGCAACTAACCCCGGTGGTTGCCCCATATAGACATCCTCAAGTAGATCACCATGTAGGAAAGCATTCTTGGTTTCAAGCTGAAAGAGAGGCCAATCATACATAGCAGCTAGGGATATCACAACACGAGTGGAACCAATCTTAGCAACTGGGGAGAAGATCTCCGTATAGTCAATACCATATGTTTGGGAGTACCCTTTGGCAACCAATCTAGCTTTCAAACGTTCTACACTACCATCAGGTAAGTACTTAACAGTGTATACCCACTTACAACTAACAGCCTGCTTACCAGGAGGAAGTGTGGTAAGGTCCCATGTATGATTATGAGATAGAGCTGAGAGTTCTTCTTTCATTGCATGGCGCCACCCTAGAGAGGCAAGAGCTTCCTGGACATCCGTAGGGACAACGACAGAGGATAACAAGGACATAAACTGGTGGGAACAACTGTCGGATCTATCGACAAGGATGGAGCTAGAGGAGGAGCCGGTACATGTTGGCGATGTGTATACACTTGACAAATAGGTGGTCGTTCAACAGGTGGTGACACCAGAGGCAAAGATTTGGTCACAGCTGGAACAAGTGGAATGGGATCCGCAACTGGAAGTGGAAGGGGAGGAGTTGGTGAGGAGGAAGAAACATCACCTGACCCCGAGAAAAACGGAGTGGACTCAAAGAAAGTAACATCAGCACACACAAAGAAACGTTGAGAACTAGGATTATAACACTTATACCCTTTTTGGGTCCGGGAATAGCCAAGAAAGATGCACGTAATGGATCGTGCATCTAACTTGTCCTTTCCCGGTCCCAGATTATGAACAAAACAAACACACCCAAAAACCTGAGGAGAAAGGGGAAATGAAGACAAGGTAGGAAACAAAGTGGTGAAGGGAAATTGACCATCAAAGATAGACGTGAGCATCCAATTAATCAGGAAGCAAGAAGTACAGCATCACTCCAAAAAGGTTTGGGTACATTCATATGGTGCATGAGAGATCGAGCAGTTTCCAAAAGATGACGATTCTTTCTCTCAGCCACCCCATTTTGTTGTGGGGTGTAAGTACATGAAGTCTGATGGATAATGCCATGTTGTTCCAAATATTCTTGAAATAGTGTAGAAAAATATTCACAACCATTATCGGAACGAAGAACTTTAATGTGGATACCAAATTGGTTACGAATTTCAGCATAAAATTTTTGAAAAAATGGTAAACAATTCACTCCTTTCTTTCATTAAATAAAGCAACGTCATCCTTGAATAATTATCAACAAAAATAACAAAGTATCTATAACCATTGTATGACATTACTTTATTAGGACCCCAAACATCTGAATGAACTAAAGAAAAAGGACTCAACATACGCTTATCAACCCTAGGACTAAAGGTAACATCCCAGTTGACATGACTCACAATCCAAAACAGAAAGATGACTCAACGAAGGAACAAGAGACTTCAAAACTTTCAGTGACGGATGACCAAACCAACAGTGCCACTGGAGAGGAGAAAGGGATGTCTGGAGAGCTATTGACGTACTTCCACCACCATCAAGGTAATACGATCCACCAGCTTCATGCCCTCCACCAATCTTCATCCCCGTCTTGAGATCCTGAAGAACACATGAAGAAGGGTAAAAAGTGACAGAGCAATTAAGAGACTTGGTCAACTTACTAACAGACATAAGGTTAAAAGGAAATTTGGGGGCATACAAAACTGAGGATAAAGATAAAGGGTCAATGTTAACATTACCAACACCACAAATGGAGGATGTGAAACCATTAGCAAGGGTAACAAATTGTGATGTTGGGCAGTGGGAGAGAGAAGAAAATACACCTGGAGTTCCAGTCATGTGATCGGAAGCTCCAGAGTCAATAATCCAGGGATTGCGTGTGGATACCAGACAAGCCATACCTGAGTGTGCAAGAGTGGTTGTATTCTGTTGAGATGTGGTCTGAACAAACCTCTCATACTCATCACGAGGAACACTCATCATCTCCTTCCCGGGAACATCTGTGGAAGTAGTGGGCATCTGATCAGCTGAATGGCTCTCCTATCTAAAGCTGCTATCACTGGTCATGGCATGATTGGCCCAAGTTGAAGGTGGACCATGCAAATCATAGCAATAATTGATGGTATGTCTATCCATACCACAGTGTATACATCTTCTCAGACCTTAACTATGTCCTCTGCCACGAACTCCCCCTGAATCTCGACCTCCATTACGATCACCACCACGGTTATACATAGATCCACCACCACCACTACGGCCATATACCGGTCCACTGCTACCACTGCAGCCAGATTGAGCTCCACCTCTAACACCACGGCCCCTTGATACTACAAAGGTTGATCTACCTCCATTACGATCACCACCACGGTTATACATAGATCCACCACCACCACTACGGCCATATACCGGTCCACTGCTACCACTGCAGCCAGATTGAGCTCCACCTCTAACACCACGGCCCCTTGATACTACAAAGGTTGATCTATCGAAAACACTAGAATTCTCTGTAGAGCCAATAGATATCCTCCTAAGTCGAGCAAACACCTCTTCTAAGGAAGGGAGAGTTGATCCTCCTAGTATCTGTGCCTGCACTGTTTCATATTCAGATTTTAGCCCCACCAATAATCCAGTCACATCTAGTTGTTCTCTCTGCTGTTGCTGAATTTTAACATCAGAGGTGAGGGGTGATACACATTCAACTCATTACGAAGGTTTCTCATGCAAGCATAGTATTCCTCAAGACTCTAATTACCCTGTTGCAAATTAAAGTACCCTGATACAGCTAATATACTCTAGTTGTGTTGTCTTGACCCGAATACAACTTCTTAGCATGGTCCCACACTTCCTTGGCAGTATCAAGAAACATGAAATTCATACTAATCTTGGGTTCCATACTATTCCATAACCATGTAATAATATGTACATCTTCTTGTTCCCAGTCACCATACTCATGAGAATCAGTAGAGTGTTTTTCCTCCCTTATGTGTTTCACTTTCTTCTTTGCTTTAAGAAAGACTTCTACAGATTTCGCCCAAGGTACATAATTTTCTCCATTCAACTTGATAGAGGTCATCTAAACATTCAGGTAGTCAGTAGGAACCATCACACTAGTTTTACTGTCACTGTTGTCTCCCATTGCTGAATTCTGCAGACTGCACACTAAACCACATTGTTCTCAGCACCAGTTATTGCTGAATTCTGCACTGTCTACACCACAACCCTACCACACGACTACCTGAAAAACTCACCACACTGCTTGAAGATCACTCCCCCTTCAAACCACACTGAAATCTGCATAAACCCTAACCCACTACAACCTGAATTTCCGCCATACGATCTGAAACAAATTCACCATTTGATTCACAATAAAAAACTGCATAAAAACTACTTACCTAATCACCAGAAAATCAAACTATACTCGACACCCACTGCATCACTCGAATCAGTCCTCTTCTCTTCATCGATTAGGGGAGGGCTTCCTACAAACCACAGCATCCACCCACAAACTGCACGACTAGAGGCATAGAAACCTCCAAGGGAAGACGGCGATCACTCCTTTTCAGCCTCTTCCCTTATCTCCAGCTGATGGCGAAGAAAAAAGAAGAAAACCCTAGACTGGATGCGTGAAGACCAGAATTCTGGGCAGATTCGATTTGCTCAACCAGGCTCTGATACCATATTATAATCCAATCTGTCTTAGAATTCTGTTAGGATAGTGATTGTAGAAATAAGAGAAGGATGAGAAGAAGAAGAAGAAGAAGAAGAAGAAGAAGAAGAAAAGGAAATAGAAAAGGAGAGAAGTCTGATTCGAACAAGAGAGAAAATCAGTCTCTCCCTACTCGGCCAGATCTATTTATATGTTTCTATTAAATCATAAAAGTACATCTTTGCCCCTACTTAAGTGAGGGACATAAGAACTAATAGAACATTACACATCAACAACTTAAACATAACCATAATGATTAAAATACCCCTACACAGTCGACATTAACAATAACTATCAAGGGATAAAACTCCTGAGCCACACTATGAAAATTTGGGAGAGAATAATTGATAAAAAGTTACAAAATGAAACACGTATATCAGAGAACCAATTTGGGTTTTTGCTAGGGAGATCAACCACGGATGCTATCTTTTTTTCGAGACAATTGATGGAAAAGTTCAAAAAGAAAATTGATCTCCATATGATGTTCATTGATCTAGGAAAAGCATATGATAGAGTGGGAGAAACATCAAACTTTGCAGCTATGAAGGGTCTTCACCAAGGTTCAGCACTTATCCCTTATTTATTTGCACTGGTCATAAATGAATTGACTAAACATATTCAGGAAGCATCAACACCTAGTTCTTTCTTCTCTCCTCTCTCTTCTCTCTTCTCTCCTCTCTCTTCTCTCTTCTCTCTTTCAAGATTATTCTTTCAGCTATTGAGAAGGCATCAACACCTGAAGAAAACCAATCAATCTATAAGGATTGAGCAAACTGCTCTGAAAAGTTCTCTTAATGATTCTTGGACAACCCTATGTTCCTTTTTCTTTTCTTTCTGTAGGAATTCTGCTCGGCCCCATTTGGAGTAAGTTCTTTCCTGCCAAGGTCATTAGCTGAGCTTGGCCAAGGATAAGTGAAAGTAGAAAAGCAAGAATTGTCTGGATCTGTATTCCTTTTACTGTGTGCTGGGTTATTTGGAACGAGAAAAACAGGAGACTGTACGAATATAAGTCCAAAAACATTGAGGTGCTAGTGCCTTTAGTAGGCCAGGTCATCTTGGATTGGGTTCTGGTACTTCCTGAGTTCAATCAGATTAGAAGATCAGATATTGGGAAGAACTCTTGGACTGTTCTTGAAATTCAGAATTGTATCAGAATTTAATGTGTTTCTTTTGGTCTTTAGTTGTTCTGTTTTGGTGAGGTGCCATCTTGTCACCTATTTTGTAACCTTTTTTTATTATTGGAAAGAGTACAAATACAAATATGTACTATACAAATACATACAAAATACAAGGTTTTGCACTCTACATATTTGTATTTGTACTCCTTCTAAATGGAGCCTAATAAAATTTCTTCTCTTACTTTTCAAAAGAAAAAATTAACACCGATTAGGAAAAAGAAATAAAAGATTAAAAGCAACGAGCATCACATTCTTCCTCTACCATGAACAATGCAATCCCAAGAAATGGCAAGAATGCAAAGGTAACACAGTTAGAAGGATAGCAAAGTTCATATTCTATGCTAAAAATATATAGAAGGACAAAGAAGTAAAGATCAATAAGCAGAAAACAAGTTAATAACATGAGACATGCATCATGGAAGACTAGACGTTATCTGGGACACTATTAGTAAGAAGTTCAGCCAATAAAAAAAAAAAAAAAAGAATAGGCAAATGAAGAAATGAAGAATTCCCAGTTACCTCCAGTAAACTGTCCGATATGCAAGCTGCAACTGATGCCCAAGGCAGTAGGTGGATATCATATTCTTTGGCAGCAGAAGCTGCAAAAGCTCCTATTTTACTAGATGCTGGTGCCATTGCCTGCACTATGTGAAAGGTGTCCACTTTCTTCTCCAAACTATTCCCAGCAACTTTCTCACTCAAAAAGTCCAATGAAAAGGAATCCATTTCAATATTTGAGGAGACAATAGAATTAGATAGTCTGAGAAGTGCTTGACGATGCCAAATTGTATCTTCATTGGCTGAATTGACAGAGCAGGAATAAATCTTTTGTGGCTCTAGTGCTCCAGAATCCCATAAATACATTTCAACAGATATGACATTTTTAAGAAAAAGTAATGTCAAAACTCCTTCCTCATAAAGCTGGAGAAACATGGAAGAAATGTCATCTTCCAGGTAAGCTTGCCTTGAGAGCTTACTAGTTGCTGCCTGATCTGCATTCCTCAAAGGGAAACGGAATAAAGTTCCATGGAAAGGTCTCTTCATGTCACATCCAAAAGTACAGTATGGAAGGAATTGATCTTTGTAAAGTGACATGGCTGAAGAATTAACATATTCAATGCGTTTTCCAGGATTTGCCACTGAAATATTTGGAAGATATATGCCCTGGGGATCAAATAGTACCACATATTTGCCACTTACAAAAGAGGGCAAATCCGTCAAATGGTACACTGAGTTGAAGCCCACTCTTGAAAAATCAGACCACCAAAGCAAAAGTCAAAAATTAATTTTACTGGTAGAGTTGCAGTGCCAGATTTTGAAAATGAAAAAGAATACAATCAGTACAGAGTACACATACATTGCCAGCAAGCACACTACTCATTTCTAAAACACTTTAACTGAATTTGGTTTTCACAAGAAAAGACCAGCTTCACCTCTCTTTCTTCCTTTTACTTCTTTTCTTTCAGGGTTTTTTTTTTCATTTTGGTTGTTACCATTTTACTTTATTGATTATAATAAAAGAATGTGGTGTACAATATGTAAGGGTCTCTTTTCTAAGGCTAGCCTTAGTAACCTTTCCCCCCCCCCTTTTACCATGTAACCTACCTATACATACAATTTTCACTGTTTACCCCCCAAAACAATTGTTCCATTTCTGTCCCTTGCTTAGCAAGTGAATCAACCAAGCAGTTTGCTGATCTAGGTACCCAACTGACAGAAACAACCATTTCCCTTAGGAGTTGGTTGGTTTCTCTTAATAAATTCCTGTACTGCCTGCTTCTTGAGTGTCCTTCAACCAGTCAACAACAGTCTGGGAATCACCCTTATCACTGCATTTCTCATGCTTAGGCTTTTGCTCAGCCTCAATCCTAATACCACAGCTAGCAACTCAGCTTTTATAGAGTCCCCAAAACCAATAAAACCTGAATACATTGCTATCACATTCCCATGGAAATCTGTACACACCACCAATTATGTGGAAATACAGGATTACCCAAGCTACATCCATCAAAGTTGAGCTTGATGTGGTTAAGTTCATGGGGTGGCTGAATTATTGTGGGTTCACACTTTGCACAAGGAGCTTGCAATGCAGGTTTCAGGTCAACTCAAGTTATACTATGACAATTGTGCTACAATCAACAATAGTTAACAACCCAGTCTATCATGGCAAAACAAAAGATATTGAGATTTAGGCACTTTGTGAAAGGATTGTTTCCTGTGATCTTTATGTGCTTTATACATACCTTCAAAAAGACAGCTTATTGACTTGTTTACAAAAGGGCTTTCTAAGAAAAGATTTGTCGGGTTGTTGATTTGTTTTGCAATCTGGGCATAATTGGCATCTATGCTCAGCTTGAGGGGGAATGTTGCAACGATTAAAAGTGCATGGGCTAGGCTGTTTTGTATTTACTTTACTTTTTGTTTATTTAGTTATAATGGGCTTAAGTTATTGGGGCCTCATATTATCTATTATTTCTTATCGCTGCCTAATTGGGCCAGTTATGTCCGTTGCATTCTAATTAAGCCAACTACTATAAACAGATCCTTTGGCCTTTGCAAACATTGTTGAACACATCCAAAGCTAAAACCACAGGCAGATCTTCCTAAAGAAGTCTTCCATGTCAAAATTGATGGTATCTCCGTTCACAACATTCAAGTACCATATGATTCAGAATCAACCGGCTTTTGTTTCTGGAAGCTGATAACCAAATACTCAATTGCCTTTTGCAAGTCAAATTGCAAAAAAAAAAAAAAAAAAAAAAAATCTAGCATTACATACCATGCGTGCTAACCATGAATAGCCATGAACAAAGAATAGAACATTCATAATGCCAGTCAAGCCTTGTGCATTCCTTACCGTCACATTCCAAGGAAACAGAACACGGTGGTAATGTTCATTTTAAAGAATGATGTCTCAAGGCGACATTCTCTCTGTCAATAACTAATTCCTCCGTTCCTAATGTGAATCCTTAATAATAAACCCATTCACCTACATATAGCTATAATACAAAAAGCAATACAATCAATGTATAACCGAGGGCTTAAATGAATTACCCAAAGCGGCCAGTCTTCCACGCTTGCCCCTGCTTCTTACTATCTCCAATCCGAGAGATACTAACAAAATCATCATCCGTGAACTCCGCATTATTATAGGCCAGCAGCGCCGGACCTTGCCACTCTGCCAATTTACTCGACAACAACGAGCCAACGCCGTGAACCCTGCGGTCCAAGCAGAGGCAAACCTTAGTCGCACCGGCATCATCAGCATTCTGGATCAGTTCCTTCAACACAGTCGTTCCTTCAGGATAATTCACCAAAACCTCCCGAATCCGCCGCGTGAGGTCGACTTTCTGTCCAAAATCCTCCAAAAGGAATGAATCAGTCCCTGAAGACTCCATTGCCGGTCGTAAACAAGAAACTCGGCCGACGAACAATTCTGGAAATCAAGCAAAAGAGGGCCTGATTCTGGCGGGTTCTCATAAATTTCTAACCGACGTTCCTTGTCATCTGAGTTTCGTACCGGATGCCTGGATGGTCCTTCGGTGCCTTTATATGTGACAGATTCCTCAATCGGGACCATCTCCCGCGACCGTGTTGTCCGGGCGATGACTTTTGGCGGGTTGGTGTTGGTCCTTAAAGAACGATTTTCTAACGTGCGCGGGGGCAAGTGCAAGTTGATTGGATATTATTTGTCAGGCTTATTACTTAAATATACCTGTGGTTTCACTAACTACTCTAAATATACTTTATGGTTTCTAAAACTACCTTTTATATACCTTTGGCTTTGAGAATGACCCCACTTATGAATTTTGTTAATGAAACTTTTTGGGCAGTGCGTACTTTGTTGTTAACCTTCCAGTTTTGCCCCCATTCTCTTCCCTCTTTCTCTTACCCTGGTCACTGGTCAGCAAGCAGAAGAGTGACCGAATAAGTCCATTCTGCTCTTCAAGCAAAGCAGAATTCAACAAACTAGAATAATCAATCTCTATCTTGCAACACATATTCGTGTTGCATTTCTTTTAATTCAAAAATTTGTAGGAGTATTTTTGTTTTTTTTTTGGTATTTTAAAATGCTTATAAATTCAAACACATCTATATATAGATGTAAATATATATTAAAACAAAACGAAATTTTCTCCTTTTTTTGAATTTTATTTTTTATTCTATTTCATTTTTGAAACAACCAATGAGATGCATTTTTCCCAAAAAACTAAATAATTTATTCTCCTAAAATTTATCCTAAACTACCTCCCCCACTTTCTCCATAATTATCTCTAATTCATATTTATCTTCTAAATTATCTCTAATTCCTATTAATCTCCACATATCTAATGTAGTAGAGAGTTTCTCTCCTGAATAATCTCCAATTCCTATTTATCTTCTCCCATACTTTTTATCTATATCTATCTAAAGAAAGGTTGGTTAAAAAAAATTAAGAATTATTTAAATATTCAAACAAAATTATTAACTTTAAAATATTTATTAAAAACACAAAATAATTTTACATTTTTACAAAAATATATCATGAAATTATACTATTATTACATAATTTTATTATTAATTTTGTTATATATTAAATTATTATTAATTTCAATATTATGTTATAATTATTTTTTGATTTTGAAGAAATTTTTTAAATTTATTACATAATTTCTTTAATTTAACTATTTAAAATCTAGTTATTTAAAATTTTAAATAGATAATCCAGAAAACATTTAAATTATTTAAATTGATAATCCGGAAAAATATAATTTAAATTGTTAGTACATATTTTCGTGATATATTTTGTAAAAATATAAATTTTTTTTGTGTTTTTAATAAATATTTTGAAGTTATTATATAATTTTGTTAGAATATTTAAATAATTCTTAAATTTTTTAATCCAAACTTTCTTTAGATAAATATTGATAAAAAGTAGGGAAGAGGACAAATAGGAATTAGAGATAATTTAGGGGAGAAACTATGAGATAATTTTGGAGATAAATATGAATTAGAGATAATTTAGAAGATAAATAGGAATTAGAGATAATTTTGGAGAAAGTGGGGAGGTAGTTTAGGAGTAATTTTTAGGAGAAGAGATTATTTAGGTTATTGGGAAAGTGCATCTCATTGGTTGTTTCAAAAATGACATGGGATTAGAAAAATAAAAATTCAAAAAAATGAGAAAATTTCTAGACTTCCTTGTTTTAATATGAACAAGCTGAATGTCAGCGTCCAAGAGCTCAGCAATATGTTGTAAAGAGCTGAGGAATTAATAAGGAAGGATGAGCTGATAGCCATGCTTGTTGAAGCTGGAAAATCTGGCAAGAAGAAGAAGGCAAAGAGAAAGCCTCAAAAGAAAACCATCAAATCTAAGAAACAAAAGAAAGACAAGGCATCCGATGCATGTCACTTCTACAAGCAGGCCGGCCACTGGAAGAGGAATTGTCCTGCCTAACTGGAATCTTAGAAAGGTACTTTCGAAACTTGTGTCATGGAAACTAATTTATTAGTAACTTTTGTGCCCTGGTGTGTTGACTCCGGGGCTTCAACTCATGCATGTAATTCATTGCAGAGGTTCAAAGTAAGCAGAAGGTTGAGTGAATGAGAGGTGACACTTTACTTGGGGACTTCTGCAAGTGTTGCAGCTACGGCGATAGGAACCGTAGAATTGAATTTTAGAGAAGGGATTCTTGTACTGAAAGACTGTCTTTTTGTACAAAATCTAAGAAGAAATTTGATTTATGTTTCTAAACTGTGTGTGAATGGATATACTGTCTCTTTTAGTAATATGATTACTATCAAAATGAACAACAAATTCATCGCATGCGGGGAACTGGAGAACGGTCTCTATGTTCTACAYCCTTYTCTARAARCTAACYTAAYCGAAACTACGTCGGTCGAAATCCCCAAGAAAATGACTCGTGACATGGTTAGTCCCATGTGCCTGTGGCATTACCGACTTGGCCACATCGGTATTGACCGAATCACAAGATTGGTAAAAGATGGTCCTTTGGGTTTTCTAACCATAGAAAACCTTCCCACTTGTGAGCCTTGCCTTAGAGGCAAGATGACAAAGCGGCCATTTAACGGTAAGCCTAAAAAATGTACAGGCACAGTTGACCTTATACATAGTGATGTATGTTGTCCCCTAAGTGTTACGACCCACAACCAACACGTGTATTTCATCACCTTTACCGATGATTTCTCACGATATGGTTACGTGTACCTAATGAGACATAAATCTGAATCCTTTGAAAAGTTCAAAGAGTTCAGACAAGACGTCGACAAACAGTTAGGGAGAGAAATTAAGGCCCTTCGATCAAATCGAGGTGGCGAGTATCTCTCTAACGAATTCAAGGACTACTTGAAGGCCAATGGGATTATCTCACAGTTGGCTCCTCCTGCAACACCCCAGCTTAACGGTGTTTCAAACAGGAGGAATAAGACATTGCTAGACATGGTCCGGTCACTTCTCACACACTCAAAATTGCCCACATCAGTTCGCCGTCTTCTTCTCTAGCTCCCTCCTGTTGCAGCCGCCACTTTCTATTGCAGTTCGTTTTCTCTGTCAGAGAAAGATCAAGAAAAGTTCTTGATATCAGTCTTTATTGAAAGGCTGATTTTGTTTGGTGCTCATTGTCATCCAAAGGATTCTTGTGAAGGATTCAGTGTGTAGGACGCACTCTGCTGGTTCTGTTCCACAGTTGCTGTGTCATCTTCAACAGGAGCAGATCTTGGTGCCTTATTTGGGTGTAAACACCAACTTTGGGAGATATTGTTTCTCTGGATCATGTATAATTACTCCCTTCTCTTTTGGTTAAGATCTGGTTCAAGTAGGATCCTTGAATCTTGATTCTAAAATTAGGGAATGTGATTCCCAGTTGAAAGGTAGGTAGAAAATTTTTGAAATTCGCCCACCCATTCCGCAACTATTTTGGCGTCCATATGATGGATTCTACCATCCCTTTTAATTTCCTACAATAATCATTTCTCATTCAGTCCAAACTTCCCTTTTGCCATCGACGAAAGTGAATGAAGTAGAGGAATAAACAAAATCTCATCAAAGTTAAGATAAAATAGTGAAGAGTATATGATGAGAGGGGAATTTGAGAATCATACCCTAATAGTTAAAAACAAGCATAGTTAAATTTTTAAATAGTGCCAACTATAAGCATGTGCTAATCTCTCATGGAAAATATGTAAACAATTTATATCATAGGTGAGAAACATAAACCATAGCTTATCATTTGGACAATATTTGTAAACTTTTAGAATTAATACCAATTGTAAGTTTATGCAATTATCTCATCAAAATATGAATATAAAAGATTAAGCTTAGGTGATAAACTAATCACATAATTTATCAATTGGAAAAATATAACTATGCATTCAAAAACAGTTCCAATTGATTGTCAAGGAGAGTTCCTTGACAATGTTGAGCATTAGAATGATCTAAGTAGGGTTGGAGACCTTAAGCTCCCCCTGTTGTGAATGTCTTTTCAAAAGAAGGCATCTTTCTCCCTTTTCATCTCATCAAAACACATAGATATATAACAATAAAGATCAAGGGATGAGATAATCTATATCAAATCAATTGGAAGAAAGAATATGTATACTACATTAAGCATGCCAACTAAAACATGCTAAGCTTTTTGGCTTAGCTAAAACAAGCACTACTTAGCTTGTTTTGGAAAGGAAGTAAATTTCCTCCCCTTTATGCTCATGAACTTTTGGGCATTTCTAAATCTTTTCCTTTTCTCTCACATAACAAATAATTTTAAAGTATAATTATTTAAAGCATATACAAATTAAACCGTGAAAAGAGAGAAATAAGTAAATTATATAACTATTGGAAAATAAATTATAAATTTATAATCATGCCAAATGTATATAGATATGCCAAGTTTATAATTTTGGCAAAATTAATGCCTTTTGCAACTTGAAGTATCTTTAACTTCTTACCCAATTATCCTCTAAATAGGAATGCAAAGATAAAAACACATAGAGGATAAAGTGACATCATGACACATGGCATCTCAGAGCAACTAGATGACACCCTGTCACCACCTAGGTGATGACTTGCCTTAGCCAAAGTGATGGAGTCCGACCTAGCAACCTGCCTCCACCACCGATTTAGCGACTTACCTCCGCCGACCTGGTGGAAATCTGGCTGGCGACCTTGTCCACATTTTAGGGCGGCTAGCAGCACCTTGTCTAGGGCCGACCTGTGGCATCTCATCAATATGGGCCGAAATAACCCCGATGTGAGGAGTGACCTCCCTCAAGGGATTCCCGACCTGACTGAGGTCCAAGTGGCAACCTACGAGATGTGCTCGCCGACCAATTATGCATGCATATCTCGTCACTCCCAGGTTTAAAGTTGGCCCACATGCCGAATGTTCCGGAGGAAACCGAACAAGGTGCGAAGATTAGTCTACATGCATGCTCCGAGGACTTTGGACTGGTTAGGCACAACCTCCTGGAGATCTTGGACATGATGCGTGAAACCCACACCAAACAATGCCTATATATAAGCCTCACCTCCAACTTCACAAAGGTACACGTGATTATTTGCTTACAGCCAGTTACTGACTTAAGCATCGAAGCAACCACGCCGGGTTAACCACCCAAGTTCTCTAATCTCTCTCGTCTTGCAGTTCGACTAGCCAACTGGTCAA